GCATTTGCAACAAGAGCTGTACAGCCAATTCCTGCCTTTCAAGCTACACCCCAAAGATGCCCACACGATGAGCTTCACACAGGTGAGTGTTCACCCGACGCCGTGCAACGATGACAGTGCTCTCTCAAGTGAGCGCGCTTCTAGACGGGTTGACTCATGGTCACTGGACACGGCTCGAGTGAATACGTTGGCTTATGATAGGCATCGATATTTCGTGCTAGGCACGCGTCGTGGGCTACCCATCCTCCGGCTGATTTGCAGTGATGTGTGGCGCACTGCGAACGTCGGACAGGCACGCATGCACGCCTGTCGTCGTCGTCACTTGGGCTTTACTTCGCACTCAGCTACTGAGGCTATGGTGTCGCCTGCCTCTCATCTTGGCAGGAAGGGCGGGCACCGCGGGGAATCGAACCCTCTACCTTTCGTTTCCCAGACACATGCGCGGTCGTAATGAAATGAATCGCGACACCAACATTGCGGCTCCCGAGTGTTCCCTTGTCGCGCCGTCCGGCGCCGTGACTCAGCCTCCGGCCGGACGCCGGCTGACGGCGGTGGTGCCTCTGCGCCCGGCAGTCGCTGGCCCAGGAGTGGGGCGCCGGCGTGTACGCCAGCCTCTGGGCGCGCATGATCGCCGCCGACGCCGCGGCCGCCTTCCACGAGACCGGCGGCGAGCCCGATCAGCTGCGCTCCGTCGGCAAGAGGTCGGTGGCAGCGCGGACGCCGCCCCGGCGGCGGCGTGGCGTGGCTGCTCGCCGACCGTGTACGCGGCCGCCTGTTGCGTTTGCGCGCCGTCAGTGGTGGTCCGACCTCCGTCCGTGCCGTAAATGTCGTGTCGTGGCGTTGGATATGTTCAGTTTCTAGCTTCTGTGATTCTCCAGCTCGCTGTATCCTCGCTTGCACGAAATAATCACTAATCACTGAGAGGTTCGGTTCGGGATTCCTCTCGTTCCTGACCGACCAAGAGTTCATGCCACGTCACCGATGTGACATTGTCACCATCGGTGAACTGTCCGTGCTGTCCTGCGGCACGTACCTCCAGCCATGTGTCTGTTCCACTTCTGACGTGCGCGTGCCGTCTGTAACGGGCCGATGCGGTCCTTGGGGCTCTGTTCCGTCGGCACCGCGCCCGTGTCCCGCGCTAACGGTGCGGCACCCGGCCGGCCGGCAGGTTCCGGGACACGTACCTGGCGTCGGGCGGCGCCGTGCACCCGTCGGAGGTGTTCCGGCGGTTCCGCGGCCGCGACCCCACCTGCGACGCCCTGATCCGGCTGCTCGGCCTGCACCGGATCGGCCGGCCGCAGCAGCAGCAGCCGCAGCAGCCGCAGCAGCCGCACAGCTGAGCCGCGCGCGGCCTACGCCTGCACAGCCGAGCTTTCAGCAGCAGCAGCAGCAGCAGCAGCGGCGGCGGCAGCAGCGCGGCGGAGCGGCGGAACTTCAGCGTCTGCCGCTTAATAGCTCGGTGGCGTGTGAGCGAGCCGCCTCAGCGACGGCGGCGTGTGAGCGGGCCGCCTCAGCGGCGGTGGCGTGTGAGCGGGCCGCCTCAGCGGCGGTGGCGTGTGAGCGGGCCGCCTCAGCGACGGCGGCGTGTGAGACAGCCGCCTTAGCGCCAGCTGCGCGTCAGCGGTGGCTACGCCAGCAGTGGTGCCCTCGGCTGCCGCCTGTGGACGGCCGGTGGGTGCCGTGAGCATCGATGCCTGCCCCCCCCCCCCAGATTTTCGCTCGGCGGGGCGCGGACTGCGCACCGAGGCGGCGCGTGTGCGTGACACGGCAGCGTGGCGTGCGTGTGCCGCGGCCGACCGGCGCACGTCCGTGAGGGAGGGCGCTGTGTCGTCTGGCCGTCAGGGCTGTCCGGCTGCCCTGCCGCGTGAAGCTGTGATGCCGTTTGAATGTGGATGTATTGTGAGCGGTGCGTGGCGATAATACACCAGTATGATGTCTCTGATGCGCACGGTTGGCTCGGTCTATGGCCTGCTTCACGGTTATGCGCCCGCTTGTAAGGCTTTAGGCGCGCGATGGGAAGAAACGTGGCTTGCTTCTCCGCATGTGTAAGTTACATGACGGCAACCACGATCAGTTCGCAGGATTATTTTCTTCTATCATTCATGAACTCCATAGAATACGAAGTACCAAGAGCATAATTACATTACACCGTACATTACATTAAAGCGAGTAGCCTCATTACCACGAGCGTACTCTTTGGAAAAATGTGTAGGACGTCATAGCGTTTTTTCTTGCTGATGGGGCGGAATAGGGTTGCCTTCGTCGGTTGCCTGCATGACTTGCAACCGGCTGGAATAGATACATCCTACCGCTGTCGTGCACGAGAGAACATACGGGCACTTGCAAGGCGGGCATTGGTGCCCTCAGGTTGATTCAACGTGGTAGTCATGCTCACAAACATAGAATAGTGCCGGCATCAACGCATTACCACCAGCATAAAAATACCAGACATTCGAGAGATTGTTTTAGCCTTCGAAGTAGTGCTCTCCTCTATTCGCTGCGCCGAAGCATGCTCGGGCTCAAACAGCTCCGCGCCATGCAGACGCCACCATCCTCGGCGGCCTCGGCCCCAGACACCTGGAAGCGGAGTTGGCGGCTGACTCAATATACCGTTTTGATGCAATCCCTGATCATGACGCGTTACAGCCGAAATCATGGAGCTGGCGGGCTTGCTGCCGCATTCTGCTAACGATCGACGCTTGCGTTATCGCCACCGACTCTTCACAAGCCACAGGCTTAACATGCTGTCCCCACAGGCACCGCAAACCTACTGTCCGGACGTGCGTCTTCCAGGCCTTGTGGGCATGGCAATAGCCTGCTTTCATGACGCCAGCAATGCCGTTCTTCTTTTCTGAATCCGAATGACCTTCAAAAGGTCATTGTTACAGTGGGTTCCAGTAGCCAGAACTAGACGCGTCAATCGGGTTAAGAATCCGGTTGCCGAAACGGAAAGTAGATGGAGACGGCGCCTCCATAACTTGCCGGCTCTGGACTTGAAACAGGCTTTGAAAAGAACATCGGGCTTTGAAAAGGAAACCCGTAGCCGCTGTCATACAAACAGTCCGCTGCCGGCCCACCCGCCGTCCCGACCGGTGAGGCGTCGGTGCTCAGGACGGCGTCCCGACCGGTGAGGCGTCGGTGCTCAGGACGGCGCCCCGACCGGTGAGGCGTCGGTGCTTAGGACAGCGCCCCGACCGGTGAGGTGTCGGTGCTTAGGACGGCGCCCCGACCGGTGAAGTGTCGGTGCTTAGGACGGCGCCCTGACCGGTGAGGCGTCGGTGCTTAGGACAGCGCCCCGACCGGTGAGGCGTCGGTGCTCAGGACGGCGCCCCGACCGGTGAGGCGTCGGTGCTCAGGACGGCACCCCGACCGGTGAGGCGTCGGTGCTCAGGACGGCGCCTCGACCGGTGAGGCGTCGGTAATCAGGACGGCGCCTCGACCGGTGAGGCTTCGGTGTTCAGGACGGCGCCCCGATCGGTGAGGCGTCGGTGCTCAGGACGGCAACCCTTGCGCGTTCATGAGGTCGTGCAGAGCGCCGGTGAAGTCGGCCGCGCGACCGGCGAAGTTGAACAGCGACACGGGACAGCTGGGGCAGAGGGCGCTGCGGTCGTCCGGGCCGACTGTGCGGCCGCGCCACTCTGCCTCCAGCAGGGCGGTACGCATGACGATAGTACACCAGTCAGGGGGTGTATGATTACCGGGGGATACTATATACCCCCTGTATTGTTACATGGAGTACATTATATGCAGGTGGAGGGGCGAGCTGGTCCGGTGCCGGCCCGGCCAGGCCGCGTGACGACGAGAGCACCAGCGCCACGGACTCGCCCAGCACGCCGTCAGAGTGGCCTGGGTCGCCGGACGTCAGGGGATACGGGAGCACGGTCATCGCAGGCTGATAATGTGGGACAAGGTCGTCAATAACGGCTGTGGACACGGAATCAGGGAACCACCGAGTGACGTAATGACAGGACGAACGGGACGGAAAACGCTCGGAACGCTCTCAAACACGCAGGACAGGTGACTGGTGAGGTGAGCGGGGAGGGGCGGGGCAAGATTAGACTTAGCCGAAACCAGGGTGAAGAAAAGTGTCTCTTACCGAAGACACTCACAAATCTTTAGGGAGAACCCAGTCCGTCAATCTCACCGCACAGCCTGATCGTCACCTCCTCACCCCGCTGAGGTGAGGTCACAGTCCGCTGAAGACAGCTCAGGTTGTCCAGACCAAACCTAGAGAGCGCCGTGCATAGTAAGGAGACGACAGCACGCGATCCATCGCTTGGCGCGCCTGACGCCTGCTGAGCCGGCTGGCGACCGATGACGGAACTCCGGCTGCGTCTGCACGCGCAGATTGCCCTTCACTTCCGAATCGAGTGTGATGAAGAGATGCTTCGGCTCGATGGCCACAGCAAAGCCGTCCGGCAGGCGGATCTGGCGCTCCTGAGCCGAGCGCGGAGCGTCGCTCTCGCAGCACGGCTGGGCAGGCACGGAAGGCGAGCCGGCGGCCAGACGCAGTAGCCACCTAGGCAGCTTCTACAACTGCCAGTGATTTTTAATACGCCAGGAAAAAGGAAAGCGCGATGAAATCGTGCGACTTTGTAGGAGTTCACAAACTTGGTCTTAAACGCCGTAGCCTTTCTTCGCCCGCAACCTGTCAGTGGCCACTCGCTGAATTGATGTGAGCTTTTGGGCCTCTGGTTTGAGCTGAATATCAAAATCAAGCGTTTTCTCTCCCGGTTGAGCCGCTAGACTGTTAGTAACTGATCAGCAGCTTCCTGTTTTAGGGCGAGCTGGTGCCGACTCGGCCAGCGATCCGTATACTTATTTGCTGGGAAGAAGCGGAGCAGAACCTGACTTCCCTTATGGAGAGCTCCTTCATAGCGCAAGCCTTGTCGTTATTCCTCAAGGCAGTTTTTCAAAACCAGCCTTCCACACCAAGTGTTGACGTTATACTGACTTCTCAATATCAGCCTGAGACCGGCTCAAGACTACTCATAGTGTCACATAGTGTCATAGTGTCATAGTGAAGCACATAGTGGCATAGGTTCGGAACATGTGGTTGTCAACAGTTTTGTTCGCCGTTTAGTCCCTCCCCTCAGAGGTGACCTCGGTGGCGGAGGGCGCAACCTCACCTGCATCAGGCTCATCCCCTCGACGCAAGCCCTCAGGTCTTTATCAGTGGTACCTTTTTGGTGGCATCGAAGAAGTTGAACTTAACAGTGAAGCTTTCCGCGTGCGACGGCGTTCAAACCGCCTTTCTGGACAAATATTCCACTGCGAAAGAAAACTCTGAATTTGGTTGCAGACTCCGTAAAGACAAAAGCAAAGCACTAGCGACAACGGCCCAATGTGTCCTGTGTCGGATTTTTCATTCAGGGGAAAACGAACCTGTGTCGGGGTTGGTGTTTCAGGTATCCTGGGATACGCGGCGACCTAGCGCTGACAAAGGGCATTCATTGGCATTGCGCGATAATTCTCCGCATTGCCTATTCAGAATTCATACTTATCCTATTTTGGGCACGCGTTTGCTGCCACATTTCATTGAGCCTGTGTTAAGCTTCGTTGACTCGTCGTGATGAACGTGGCTCGGCTTCGCTCTCTGCACAAATGTGTTTGTAATATAAACAGGTGAGAAAACCACATGTGCTGTAGCAAAAGGTGCGCCTTTTTGGGACGCCATTTGATTGCTGGTCATTGTCAAGTTGGCATGGATGCTTGCTTTAATGCTTGGAGTAGGATGATGCTTTAAGAGTTCTTAGCATTGACAACAAAACCACAGTGGACTATTTGTGAAACATTGCTCTTGTTAGGGTCAACAGGTACTAATGTTGGCATGTTTTATGTGTTTTTGGATCAAACTCATTATGTTTTGCTATGCTTCTAAGGCTTCCATAATGAGCATTTCCTATGCAACATTTGTGTTTTCATCATTCATATAATTCATGCTAGTAGGCATCACCACCACTATCCATGCTTTGCAAAGTTTTGTTTGTGAGAGAATGACAGGGTTATTCATATCATGTCACTTTGTTGCTCATTTTGAGAATGGGAGCCAGGGGTGGGTATGATCCTGAACATTTAGAAGCAATGTTATCAACTCTATAGTAGCACTTCCAAGTGCATGCACCCATGCTTATCTATTTATTATTGGCTCACTTTTTACCATCATTGCTGAGATATGTGCTTTATTTCCTTATTTGCAGGTATGCTGTGCACAAGAGGCTACTCCCTGGTACCAGATGTATGAGCACAGAAGCAGCTACACTCACCACACCACCATCTGACACTGAGGAAAAGGTCAGTGAATACTTCCTTGATTTACCAGTGATGTAGGCAATGCACTGAATGTTCTGTAGCAGTGAAAAGACAGATTTTGACAAATAAATGTTCCAATATTATCAATTTTATTGCATCTGATGGTATTCAAGATCATCAACCAATAGCTTTTAGCTCTTGGAACAGCCTGGTGCATTTTGCACATTTTGTGTACCAATACATTCACAGTGTCAGTGCTGCTTGATCAGGTGAGCTGAAGTGCCCTGACATGGTTATAAACAATTCACTCATTGTGGCTGCGCAGCATGAAATTAAGCCAGCTTATTGACTGTAGCTGCGTGAAAAAAGGATTCATGCAGTTGTGAAGTGCCAGTGCAGCATGATTTGTGGATGTGCTGATATGTTGCAAAACAAATCTTCTGGGAAAGATGTATTTTGGGCCATTTTCAAGCTTGCTTACCTGCATGATGCTACTGAGGCATATCACCTCTATTGCTGTCCTAGTTATGCCTGGAGTGAGTATTGAGTAAGCTCCTGGGGTCAAGCGCAGCCAGTGTGTGCTGACCCGCTCGGCGGGCGCGCCAGGTGTACCCGGAGCGGGTGGAGCAGCTGGTGGCGGAAATCTCGCGGATGACGCTGCTGGAGGTGGCCGAGCTGAACGAGTGTCTCAAGAAGCGGCTCAACATCGCCGACACACCCGTCATGATGGCAGGCCCGGCGGCCGCCCCCGCCGCCGCAGAGGTCAGTCGCGCTCCGCTCCGACGGCGCTCCGACGGCGTTCCGGCGGCGTTCCGGCGGCGCTCCGGCGGCGCTCCGGCCGTTCTCTGGCGCCAGACGACAGCGCACGTCGCCGGCCAGGGCGTGGCTGCACGGCGCGTGTTCCCGCTCAGTTGGCGGCTCCGCTATGATTCAGACGGACTCAGCAGGATCGTACTTTTCTGCGCCGACCGCTGTTGGTGCCAGGCGCGCGGCCCGTGATCGGGGTGCTGGCGTGTTTGGCTGGCACGGGGACGTGACTGGCGGTGGCCGCCTGTGCACGTGGCGGCCGCGCCTGTGCCGTGACCGGCCCACCTGTGAGCCGGCCCGTGGCGTGACGGTCGCCGGACGCGACGTGACCGCGATGCTGTGAGCTCCCTCACTGGGAGGCGGTGACCTGGGATCCGGGACGGGCCGATGGGAGTGGTGGACCTGGCAGCAAAGATGGGCGTCATGACTGGCAGATGTGCCCGAGATCATGTGCTGGGTCGTGACTTGGGGTTATGGCCATGGGCTGCCATCCGGACCGATATCAGGCATAATGAGGCAGTGACCAAGGGTAGTTATGTCGCGACCGGGGTGGTGACGTCACCTGATCTCGCGGCGGACAGGAGGAGGAGGCCGAGGAGCAGGTGGCGCAGAAGGTGCAGACCAGCTTCACGGTCAAGCTCAACTCCTTCGATGCGGCCAAGAAGGTGCCGCTGATCAAGGAGTTGAAGGCCTGCGTCGAGGGCATGAACCTGGTGCAGGTGAGGTCGCGCACTCCCGCCCCCTGAGGTCACCCCTGAGGTCAGCACGAGGCGGCGGGCTGGGTGGTGCGGTGGCCATCTTTGGAGGGCGGGCGCTGGTTGACACCATGGGTCTGAGTCGGTTGATGGTCGGTGATCTGCTCCGGGTTAAGGTGTGTGGACTGAACTTCCTTGCGCCTTAACCAACTGAATCTGACGTCGAAAAGCGGGTTGAGATCCGTGTTCTTGACTGATTGTTGAATGATTTTTGTCGATGTTTTAAGGGACTGCAATAGCCCACAAGTTTTGCGACTCGGTTTTCCCAGGGCGGGAACCAAAGATGTGACTCCGTGGAACAACCTGTCAATCCCACGGAATTATATGTTTATTTGCGCTCATCAGCGACGTGACGATGTGCCGTACAATATTGTCATACATGTTGGTACCATCGTTCCGCTCGCTCCCTTAGGGTCCATGCTGGTACCAAAACTGGCAGAGGCGTACAGAAAAAAGCTAAATACACATCAGATAGAAAGATATCGCATGCAACAATGCATGTCACGGACGACTACGTTTTCAGTGCCAATTTTTTATTGAGCCCAGTCTGTGATCTAACATTGGAACTGTTCATGCTTCGGTGGGTGCAGGAATGCTTGCATATGTCAAATATCCCCCGGCTCCATACTTCGTGAGTGTGCGGCTGGTCGGCTGGCAGTCGTCGGGTAACGTTCGTTGCGCCTTGGTCAGTCCGCTGACGTGCCGAACTGCGGCCCCCGTCAGCTCTCCCAGTGGAGGACCAGTCTGAAACGGCAGCTGACCGTCTCTCACAGTACCGGCTCCTCCCCCCCCCCCCCCCCCGTCCTTATACGATAGCCCGTGCGCCTGGCGCGAGGTATCTCAATGAGCCCTGACCGATCCACCCGCCGGGATAAGCGCAAAAATAGCCAGATGTCTTCAGATGGGCGGCGCAAGCCATGTGATAAACGGATGTAGCGCTATAAGGGCACACAAGGCATAGAGAAGTGTTCTGCTGCAAATGTTCTATGTGTTGTTTTCGTGAGCATATCCGCCACTCGGCTGTGTGTGTTTCAGGCCAAGAAATTCGTCGAATCGGCACCGGCGGTGGTGAAGGCCGACGTCTCCAAGGCTGACGCCGAGAAGCTGAAGGAGATTTTGGAGGCGGCGGGCGCCGTGTGTGTGATAGAGTAGCGGCCCGCGCGCGTCGACACGTGACTGGAAGCGGGCCGCCGGCGAACGGGGGGCGCCGTCGCGCCGCCGCGGCGTCTCGTGACCCTGCGTTGACCCGTGCTCGGAGGCAGGGTCGCCGCATCCCGCGGTATCTCGTGTCCCTGAGATGACCCGGGATCGGGGGCGGGGTCGCTGCGCTGCCGCGGCGTTTCGTGACCCTGCGGTGACCCGTGCTCTGCGGCGGGGTCGCCGCACCCGCGGTGTTTCGTGACCTTGCGGTGACCCGTGCTCGGGGGCGAGGTCGCTGCGCACGCCTTCTGCAGCGCGGGGCGGGCCGTCCCAGACCTGTACATAGCGGCCGTAGTGGAATACATGTGCGACGGGTTTGCACGCTCCGTGTTGGACGTTGAATAGAAGGAACTACGCCGTGCGTTGCAACCAGTACACGCTCACAAAGCTGATTGGGGAAACGTTAAGCATTCATTGCCCATTTCGTTAGGGACAGTTCATCATGATAACTTGGCCGCTATTTACCATTGTGTTTGAAATCTTCGCCGATTAGGAAAAATAGTTAACCATCTCAGCTTTCAAGTTGACAACTGCTCGCGCGCTATGCATTCAGACAATACGCAATTAGAGGTGTGCTGCATTGCAGTCACATATTTCGCAGCTCATTCACTATGAAGACGTTCTTCCTCCAAAAGCTGTGCGTCATTGGATAAGAAAGTTGCACCTGCACAGTCATCCATATGACGCCACCCAGCCGCGCTCACGGCACGCACACAGGTGGGGCGGGCCTGCATGCTGCGACATTCTACACCGGCCTTCTCGGGCGACGTGGGCGCCTCCACTCAGCCTCAACCGGCTTCAGTGTGTTACTGAACGATTACGGTGGCTGTTGCTGTGTGTTTTCTGATAGCCAGTCGAGCAAATCTGAATGTCGAAAGTGAAAATAGCGAATGTCAATGTGACAAACGACGCGAATTTGCTTCAGTTTAGCCCGCCAACGTGTGAATGATCAATTCGTGTAAACAGATCGGGAAGTCCGAAGACTGGCCTGTGACCAGCGATGGTATCGACTTTGACCCTACTGATAATCGGTGTACTTACCGGCGGTGATGTAACTTAGTCCGCTATAATTGGAACTGTTTAGAGCGTGAGTTCAGAGAGAGCGTCAGAGCCAGCCCGGGTAAGTCACCCAATGACAGACAAGACCTCTCGTGGACGTCAGTGCTGTACACATGCGACAGATAGTGGTTGAGCGGGAGCGTCAGCATGGTTCAGTCCGCGCGGGAGCTCTTGGAAAATACTATCGGTTTGACCGGACACGGTGGCTCATCACAGCTGTTGACAACAGCAGCCTCTTTTTGGCACAAGTCAAGCATTGAGCTTGCGGTCATCAGAGTTACATAAACACGGACGAACACTTCGGTTCAAAATTACGTGAGTTAAGTGCGTGCACGTGACACGTTATTCGCATAGATAAGACAGAATCAATGGCATTATTCCTCGGAGAACACCAGGAGAATGGGGGTGTAGATGCGTTGATATTTCGGCAACATGCCTTTATCGAAACAATAGCAGAACGATACTTCCGCTATTGTTTCGATAAAGGCATGCTGCCGAAATATCAACGTATCTATATCTCCATTCTCCTGCTTTTTTCCTCCGGCGAATAAGGCTATTACTACCGCCCTATCTACGGCACAGACGAGGCTTCAATCGTGTTCCCTTCCCCCACACCTTCCTCTGCCTTGGGAGGAGAAGGCCCAGATGGAGCGGCTGCGCCACCGCTGGCCGAGACGGCGTCTTGCAATGACTCGGCCGTGGCTGGGAATTCTCGGGGATTCCCGCCAGACGGGAATCCGCTGTGACTGCAGAAAGAGGCGCGATTCTCGCGCACGGCTCGGCTGATTCCCCGCGAGCTCGGCCGTGTTCGGACGCCAAGGCTGTGGCGACGGCTGGGACCGGTTGGGCGAGTCAGTTGCTAGTCTGCGATGCGTCGCAGTTGAGAGCTGACGCGGTGCGGTGTCCGTTGCGAGTCGCTAACCGGGAGTTCGCTCGGTGCGGTGCCCTCCTGACGCCGAAGAGACGGGAGCCTGCGTGTGTGGCAGCGAAAAGCAGAGGTCGCGTGGTGCAGTTCCCGCCTGACGCCGGGGAACAGGAGATCTCGCGGTGAGGTGTCGAAGGGCGGGATTTCGTGCGGCGCGGTGCCAGACGCCAGACCCGGACGCCAGAGAATCATGTTGCGTCACGCCGCCGGTCGGCGCTGGCTGCTGCTCGCCGCCCTCCTCTGCCTGTCGGACTGCAGCACCGATAGCTTGATCGCCAGCAGCCTGCGGCGCGCCATCAGAGAAGAGCTCGCCGGCGCGCTTAGCGAGCACGGCTGTGACCTCCGGCCGCCGGTGACGCGGCCGGACACGCCGGCGGCGCTCCCGAGAGAGCAGCGGGAAGATACGGCCGTCCGCCTCCCCGTGCGGCTGTCCGGAGGAGTTCGTGGCGTGCTCCGGCCGCTGCTACCTGCCGCTGGTGACGGCCGTCACCCACGAGCAGGCGACGGCCCACTGCGCCCAGCTTGGCGCCCGCCTGGCGGTGCCGCGCACGCTCAAGGAGAACCTGTGCGCTGCCGGACTGGCAGGTCACCGCAGCGTCTGGCTGGGCATCACCGACCTGGCTGTCAAGGGCGAGTTTGTCGACCAGGACGGCCGATCAGTGGCGGAAGTTCTAGGCAATGTGTGGTCCGAGGGCCAGCCGGACAACTACCAGAACAGGGAGGATTGTGTGGAGATTTGGCCGACGAACACGTTTCCGAACGTCCGCTTTGCCGAGTGGAACGACAGGGACTGTAGTGCGAAGGCGATTCCGATGTGTCAGCTGGACCTGTAAAAGATACCTTGGCTGCTTAATGTCTCTCGTCATAGTTATTCAGAAATGTACTACCGCTGCGTGATTGGTCCGTTGGCACTTATGAACAAGACTATTAACATGTGCAAGTCGGCCGACGCAACATGCTCCGAGCGAGACGGCGACCGACGATGGACCAGATGGGCATTCAGTCCTCTCGGCGTCCTCGGACTGCGAGGCCGTGTACGCGAGGACGGTCAGTGAAGTCGGCCGCGTCTGAAGAGAGAGCTGCAAGGGAATCCATCGTTCGTGCACCCCAGTGACCGGCCGCACCGGCTTGAGTCTCTTGGACAAGATTAAGGACCACCCGACATATGCTTGAGCGGAGGATTTTTCGAGCAACCAAATTTGGTCATAATCTGTTTACGGCTTGGCCAAAACTCAAACTGCGGAGTGGATGGATTGCTGAGGACTTGGACTTGCTATACAAGACCTTTCAGCGCCTCATCAAAGCATGGTTCGTGGTGCGCTCGGTGGAAGCCATTGGAAGCGTTTTGACAAACGTCGACATGGTCGCAGCAGTGCTCGAGGATGGCAGGGCGAGCGGTGCCATCAATAAAAACGCCGCCAAATCGGCTCCAAATTCCCCACAGGTCACCAGACTCCTTGCCAACGCACTGGCAATGCTCGGCATCATGCGCCCAGCCGGCGCGCTCAGTAAGGCTGGTCAGGCGGCGACGCACGCGGTATTTGACGACAACGTAGCCGTGCGCCAATTTCCTGCCATGACAAAGCTGACTGATGCCGAATTCCTGAATCGTTCGGAGGAGGACGGACCTGCCGCCGCCAATGGTACTTACCGTGGTAGCGCACAACTTTCATTTTTCCATGCACTAAAGGCTGAAGCTTTTGTTGACAAAACCTTGATCCCTGTTGGCTTTCCAGGACGGCTAAAACACTGAAAAACGCGTCCATGAACTTCATGCAATCAAGAAGGCCCTCTAGAGTGTATGCATATGACCATGCAAGGTACGTGTGCATTAACAGCTAAACTGTCGCATTTGTTGCACTTACGCAGATTAGGAAGCCTTAGAGTCATTCACCCAAACTTGAATTAACCGATGCATCTTAAGTGAATGCCCACGACGTTCTCTAGAACTTCATAAATTACGAAGCCAGCCACATTTCTAGTTCAGCGCATGACGTAGGTCATCCCAGCTAGTAAAAAAGACAATTTTCTGACCGATTTTCCACTGGTAAGCAGACCTGTTTTACTATTGTTTGCACCGTACTGAAACACCACTAGGGGCGTCCCGTTTGCGACTACCCCGCGACCATCATGGCTAGCTTTGCCAGCCTGAATTCACGGGAAGCCTCTTCTTTTTTTGGACACGATGACAAACGATTTACCAGGCTTATCTCTCAACTGAATTGAGCTCGCACGTGGCCTCGCAGTGTTCTCGACGGAAGATTTTGGGTGTTTGGGAAGGCAAAAAAATGTCAAAGAACTGCAGTCGAAATTGCCGCCATCGCGGTGTCAGTCGCACAGAGTCTGATAAAATTCATTCGCCGTCGCGGTGTCAGTCGCACGGGACCTGATAAAATCCCTTCGCCGTCGCGGTGTCAATCGCACAGAGTCTGATAAAATCCCTTCGCCGTCGCTGCCAATAACTCAAGCTGCGCAGACCTGTACTATATAGCATTCTGGAAAATGACTACAAAATACACCTTCACCAAAACGTGTGCTCCCAAAAGTCCAACCACCAGAAATGGCTGCCTATATACTAGTGACTCCCTGACAAGCTCATGCGGAAATAAATCTTTCCTATAATCTCTAGTTTATTGATGAGGCGCATTTTTCTCAGTGATAACGTCAGTTCAAGAAGAAATCATTGGTGTGGAGAAACCGACCAGAAATTGCATTGCGGTGACCTTCATAAGTGACCTATGCCGAAACCAATTTAGCAATTGTATCGTGTTTGCGTGATTAAAATGTGCAGGAAGCACTGCACTATTTTTCACTCGGCAAACGTGCAAAAGAACATTGATCGCGTAAAATTCAACTTCAGTACCCTTTTTGGAATTAATTATCGCCAATACTACTACCAAAGGACGCAAATTGCCATTTGAATCCTTTGACCACAATGCAGCGCCACTATTGCCACCAAGCTATTGGCCACGCCTGATGCGTTACGCCTTACCGGACCATTCTGGTTCGAGGAAGATGACAGCCACGCGATTATACTGAACATGCATCGGCACGCCGGAAGTCATCCGAAGTTCAGGTGGCAGATCCGGGAAGAGGACGCACGCGCAGGCATGCCAGTCAGCGGTTTCAGCAGAACGCGGCCGCGCCTCATTGTTCCGACAAATCGTTGGAATGGTTTCGGAGTCACCGCAGTTACCAAGTGATTGATCGCTGATGCGGCGTATAGCGGGCGGTGGGGGGGGGGGGGGGGGGGGGGGGGGCTGAAGGGCCATGCATGCGAAGGAATGCCGCAGGCATACACCGATGTAAAAGAAACGAACAAGGGAATGGAAGATGCAATTGATACTATGGTCCATTTTGTGAAATTTGTGGACAATTGCAAAAGGCTCATTCGGGTGCGTTTGAGCTATCGCGGCTGACATTTATGAATATACAAAACAGAACAGTTCTGAAATAAACGCAAAATCTCTTGTCATTGCAAAACTTTGTCTGCCTATCATGGAGAGCATCACCGACGCGGTGAACAAATTTGATGGTCTTATTTCAACAGACAAAGCTGTTATTGCTTAATTTGTTAAACTGATCAGCACGGACATTGCTTAACCCACACTCGATCCCACCCATATATGGTTTCGTTATTTAAGGCGGCGTAGTGGTTGGTCATATATACTGGTTTAGTTATTCACATCTTGAACTGCTAGGACTTCTTTTGGACAGAATTAAAGTAAAAAGTTGCATTTAATGAAGCCTTCATACCTCAGACTTCCAGACAACGGCCCCTACCGCCTCCACCCACTGGACCCTTCCCTCGAATCCTGCTATCATAACTTTATGGTTAAGCGTTCACTTTGCCTACTTCATCGATGTTATGAACTGTGCGAACCCATACAGCAATTTTACGGGTGACGGTGCATAGAAAATTCGTATGTTTACGTGACTGCTTCTAATTTGTTAACTTTTCGTGGACAATGAGTGAGTGGATCTGTGATTTGAGCTGGGTGAACATGACGACCGCAATCTGCAGCCCGTAAATAACCGGACTGTTTAAAGACTGCAGTGCAATGGCACAACAATCCATTCGTGATGATTTCAAGGTCAAAACGTTCAGTGCATGGTCAGCGGTGCGCCGGTGGTGAGCTCTGGCGTCAAAAGTGATAACTACCCGCGTCAATAGAGACAAGCGCGGAATCTCTGCTGGAGCTGCTTCAGGATGCCGTACATAGCGCGCAAAGCTGTCCATCACTATCGGCTGAAGATCACCTTCAATGTGAAACAAATGTAGGCACCCAAGGACGTACAAATTGCTGGCATCACTATTTCTGTGTCAGGTGTCGTGATCGTGAAAGAGTGCTGCACTGGTGTGGGGACATGGTTGTTACAGTGCGTTGACAATGTATGGTTTCCACCATCATGGTGAATATGAAGGTAAATGTTATGATGATATGCACAAATAAAAACACTGTAATATGATGAATGCAGGCATGCTACCAATAAAGGAAAATACATTCAGTCGCATTGCTGATGTAGAGCATCACACAAGACCACGTATTAGCGTAGACAATAAATGTATGATAAATCAAATGCTTTTTACCTAATTTTAAACTGAACTCACCGAAGTCCAGGGAGATCAAAATATGGGGGGGGGGAGGGGGGGCGGAGGAGGCGAGCTTGACAAGTAGCTTTATTCGCCTCCAACTTAGGGCATGCCGGCTGGCCGACCTGGTATGTCGGCTGGTCGGCCTGGTATGTCGGCTGGTCGGCCTGGTGTGCCGGCTTGTCAGTCGGGTATGCCGGCATGTCAGCCGGGTGTGTCGGCTGGTCGGCCGGGTGTGTCGGCTGGTCGGCCGGATATGCCGGCTTGTTACTCAGGTGTGTCGGCTGGTCGGTTATGTCGGCTGGCCGGCCTGGTATGTCGGCTGGTCGGCCGGGTATCTCGGCTGGCCGAGTACGTCGGCTGGCTGGGTGTGTCGGCTGGTCGGTTGGGAGTGTCGGTTTGTCAGTCGGGTGTGTCGGCTGGTCGGCCGGGTATGTCGGCTGGTCGGGCCGCGCGGCCGATCAGCGCGGCACGGTGACCTGTTGCTCCACTCGGCTGCGACCGGGGTGAGTCACGCCGCCGCGCCACGGCCCGCCGCTCTCACCGGCTCCCAGTGATTGGCAACTCCGGGAACCATCCGTTTCGCTCTGTGACCTGACTGAACCGAACTGGCGGCGAGCCCCGGCGGCGCGTGGCCAGAGCCGGAGCCGCCGGCCGGCGCGCCGGATTCGGACGGCGCCCTGGCTGTTGACATTGTCCGCCGGGTGACGCCGCGAGCGGGCCTGGAACCTCGGACTGCGTGCAGTGCGCTGGTGGCCTTCCCGACAACAGGTGGGTGCCCGGAATCCCGACCGTGTGTGGGTATGTAGATAGAAAGTAAAGATCACTGACCATAACCACCCCTCACCGTTTTTCACCGTTTCGCGAAAGCTTTTCTATGACGCTGTATCGTGATGCATACGACCAATGGATTTGAAAGGGGATTGGTGTGCCCCTCCGCCACTGCAGTGCTTCTACGTCCCTGGGTCAGGCACGCCACCTGACCCGCCCTGAGATGTCTGCCAATTGATTGCAACCGCTGCCGACATAAGCGACGAGCTGAGCTGTGGATTACTGGCGACCCTTTCCTGCTCCGTTGGACGACCGCGTGCAGTTTGTTTCGGGGCTTCTGCAAGGGCCATGGGGGTGGAAAGGCATTTATGTTTTTAAAGGCGATTCTGCCCACGCGACGCGATGGGTGCATGATGCTTAAATGTGGATAGGATGAGAAGGACTTGAATCAGGGATGTCACGGCTTCATTTTGAAGCGCCCGGGCTGGCCATGCCCCGGTCCATGGATGTCCCTCGTTGTCAGCTGTGGGTTTTCACCCACTCAGCTGCTGAAACTGCATGGCATGGTCTGTCTCCCTGACAGGAAAGACGTGCACTGCGGGAAGTCGAACCTCATACCTCTGGTTTCCCAGACGCGCAACCACTGTCGTACCGGCACACCGTTGCTATTGGCGATGGGTATTATGAAGATGCACGCAAAGAATGACCTTAAAAACTTTGAAGCCGTGATTGGAACCCCAATCATTTTTGGAAAGTGACTCTTCTGACTCATGCTGTCCGTCCCTTCCTCCCCTCCCTTTTGTGCCGTGCCCTCGTCTTGACCTACCGTAGTAGCTCATCACTTGGAGCAGCATTGTTATTTTTTGTTTACTTTGCTCCTTCATCAAGGTGCCTACTTCCACTTGTCATCAGTAACGTGACAAGACCAAAATGTTTGCTCACTCAATAGAACGAAAAATTCCAGCTATGTCGCTGCATTATTGTTGCTCTCCTATGTTGCTTATGTATGTCCCGGGTGTGGTGTGATATAACTACCCGCTGAGCATCTTATCTTCCACCTTGCAATTGTCTGTATTCACACCGTCTGTGGGACAGATTGGACTAAGGTCCCCTTGTCATGTAGCAAAAGCAGCGAGTTGATGACAGATGTGTGCTTATGTGTGTGTGTCATGTTTTGGCTTATCAATGCCAGGGACGTTTTCAGGGAGAGGGCACATGTTTTCCTTTCTCCAACATTGTCCTGTATTTATATGTATGTAAACAAATGTGGACAGCATAGAAACTGAGCTAGACAGGCACAAATATCCAGATTAGATACATTTTACTGTGTTATTCGTCATAAAAGAGATTTGGCACGTTTGTGGCGCGCTTTTTTGTAAGATGTACGCGGCCCCACTGCGGAATCCGCCACGCACCACTCATTACTCCTCGTTGTGTCAGTGGTTTGGCTTGAAGGGGAAGTTTTTAGGAATTTGGCCGCCCTGAAGGTGGTGGGGTCCCCTGGGATCCAAGTCCCGGGTTTTTTTTTGTTGTTGCAGTTTGAGGTCCGTCGGGCTTGTAGGCCATACAAATAGGCCCCAGAGGCTTCAAAATAGGATCAGAGCCTAACCATGTCTCCAGAGGCAAAACCAGCGACCCTTAACGACGAAGATGAACCCCTCGGCTGGAGTGGCGCCCTATGACCCGGTTTGCCCTTCTCCCATTGGGCGAGGTTCTGACTACGCCATTATGTAAACCATGTGTGTACTAACCAAATCATTTACGCAGGTGGCTACACGCCTGCGCAACAGAGCTCGTTTGCTCAACAGAGCACGACACAACACAACACGCGCTTGATTCGCCCCCAGCTTCTCGGTCGTCCTGATGGATGTAGCTCCGCGTTCCTCTGTGGCCTGATGGCCACGCTGGCGGCTGTAACCGCCCATGTGAACCACCGCTCGTCCTGCCCCGTGCCCACGACGCCCATGAGCGACTTCGATGCCAGCAAGGTGCGTAACTCCGGTGAAGCTCATGGCTCACGAGGCGCGGGTCGCTGGAGCGCGCTGCCCCGTGTCGTGACCGGCGGTGCCCGCGGGAGGGAGAGGGAGTAAAAGCGGCCTCACGAGACCGGAAGTTGGTTCATTGTCCGTTCACTGTTCGTCGGGCGGGGTGGAACTGTGAGGGCTGCGGGATGATTGGATTCGGGCGTGCGGATAAACGCCGGAAGCAGTTTTGGTGCATCGGAGGCGCAACGTGACATTTCCGGTCAGGCGCTTCGAGTGCGATTGATTGTCATCATCGATGGCATGGCGAGCGCCACGAGGACTTATGTGTTAAGCCAGCGACCACCATGTGTTGCGCATTATCTATATTTAGTGACATATTTGGTAGCATATTAGCTATATTTAATGACTTTATTTAGTAACAGCGACGACGCGGCATTCTGCACTGATCCACAGGAGTTCCGCCAATGGGGGTGGCGTTAGTGTCGTTTTTCCGAACGCTCTGAGTCTTACTGAGAACCTACTCAGCATTACGCACGAAAACAGAGGCCACGAAAGAGCATGACTTCCTTATTCGCTGGTCCGCCAAGCGCAACCACCGTTGGCCTTGCTACCAAGGGTGTAATGGTTAATTCGGCTAGCGGCCATTTCCTGCCGGAGCTGCAGTACAGTGGTGTAGTTGCGTAAATCAAGTTGCGTTGGGGGAGAACAGGCAGAGAAAAATGGTGAAACGCGGCCGAAGGCAGAAAACGGGTTCTTCCATACTTCGGCTCGCTTTTTTCGATGTTATCCATCTGGTTAGGAAACTATAACCCTGATGCAATAGATTTATCACAGATGTTTAGCAATATTGCGGATCGGACATTGTGCAGGGGCCAGGACTGGCCGCAATGCGCACTGTTTCCAGGCGGGAAGATGCGGGTTTTTACCGGACGTAAGTCATCCACGGCTAGCAAGATATGCTGCAGCAGGACCAGCCCCTGCTGAGTGTAAACCACTCTACGCACTGCTAAGGCTGGAGGCCTAGATGTAATCAGTTCCGGTCAAAACAGGGTCTGCCGGATACATGCCAGGCATAGCGACGTTGGCTTCAGGACCTGAGAGCAATAGGATTTTCTATTTTCCCTTTTGAACAAGGCATCAGCTTCTTATTCTTCTTTCACCACTGCATGCAAACAGCGAAACGCATCTGCATAACAAGCCCAGATTTCTTTTCGTGCTTGGCATGCAGCAGCCGGCTTCTTCTCACGGTTGTGCTCGTGCGCAGCAGACCGGGACTGAGATTCGCCGCAGCTGGCCGGTTTGGTGTGGGGGGAGGGGGACGGTGATAAAACCGGTCGGTTACAGCGGAAGCGCCGGGTCTTCCGTTCCGAACCTCCCGAACGTCCCCATCCCTGTGTCCTTTAGCCGTGATCTGACCGTCACTGATTTAGCCGTCACTGTAGCCGCACCACTGCCGCCTCTCCGTCCCCATCCCTGCGTCCCTCGGCCGTGATCTGACACCGCCGTGGCCACACCCCTGCCGCGTCTCCTGTCCAATCCCTGCATCCCTCGGCGTGATCTGACGTCCTGTAGCGCACCACTGCGCGTCTTCATGTCCCATCCCTGCATCCATCGGCCGTGATAGAGTCACTGTAGCCGCACCACTGCCGCGTCTCCTGTCCCATCCCTGCATCCCTCGGCCGTCATCTGACGTCACTGTAGCCGCACCACTGCCGCCTCTCCTGTCCCATCCCTGCATCCTCGGCCGTGATCTGACACCACTGTAGCCGCATCCCTGCCACTGGTCCCAACCCGCAAGTGCCGGCGACGACACAGCGCGTGTTGCGTTCTGCGCCGCCGCCGCCGACAGTTTCGCTTGCAGCGAGGCGCCGCCTGGCTTCAGAGCCAGCCTCTGTCTGTCATCAGGGCAGCCTCTGTCCCGCTGCCGTCCGACCCGCCGTCGTGAAAGCCCGGCCACAGTGGGGCGGGCGGCCGCGCGTGGTGGCGAAACACCGCCGGCCGACGGGGAACTTCTGCCGCTAAACGGAGCCGCGACACGGCAGCGTTATTGTTGTCTGCGGCAAAAGACAAATATGCAATGAATGGCGTGTGATGGCGATGAGTGAAATGGGGCTTTGCTAGCAGGAAACACGCTTTCCCAACCTCAGTATAACTAGATACGAATGCGTGCGTTCAGTTTTTCTGCGACGGATTGGGTGATTGTCATATTCAGGATACTAATGGAGGAATTCCCGATTTCTTGGATGTAGGTTTTAAGATGAAGTTTTCGCCGTTAGCAGGTGGTGAAGCGTATCTTTCCTTTTTAGAACCCAAATCATAAGATAGTTATGTTTAGGTATTTTTGTATTTCAATGATGTATTTCCATATCATGCCCTAGATCACAAAAATACTCCACACCTTCTCTGAATGATTAAATGGTTTTAGGGCACCTGGGCCTTTTAAATGCTAAATTTGAATTTATTGTGCAAAATTTTCGGCATTTTTATGTTTCCTCACCTATCTAACACGTTGTAACGACAATAAATCGCTGGAGTTTCTGGAGACACCGAATCTGAATGGAGGCTACTGGTGCCTGGTACTAACATTGCTGGTACCCCCCACACTACCAGTGGACGTCCTTTCGTACCTTATGCCTCGAACTTGATTCGGTGTCAAGTGTCACGTACCTTGTCCCACGAGGTTCGTGAAAAAAGACTCAGGGATGCCGAATGCCCCCTGCCATTCGACTTCTTAAAATCGCAGAGGTGAAAGCCCTGAACCGTTGCCTCCACTTAGATTAGGTTTTCAGAGTCGAATTGGGAACACTTTGAAACATCTTTGGTAGTTATCTTAATTTATCTGACGGACGAGGATAGCTACGAATTGTATCGTTCATTTTTGTTCTATGACAATGAACATTACATGTGTGAATTCGTTCATCAAACTTACAATTTACAACACAGAAGACCATCTTTCGCACATGTATTAGGTGATCTCGTGATTGTGACACGATTTGTAGGCAAATCTGCGAGGCTCAAAATGTGATGCGGTAAGAACAGACCGCGTAAACAATAAATGTTTTCAGAAATTTCAGCTCACGCTTCCTCGGAAAAGCAAAAGCACGGGGTAGGCACCAATTTCCTCCCGGGCACTGGGCTAAGGACCCTGCCGGCGAGCCGGCGAGTGTTACGCCTCAATCTGACTTCCTTGGACCAGCTCTGACACGTGCGCCGACTAAGACCATCCCCACCGCCGCGGCCAGTTCCTCGGCGAGTGGTACGTGATCCAGAGCTTCGACCCGGACGTCTCGTGCCTCGTCTTCAACTACACCTCGTGCGGCACCGGCTGCCTGAGCGTGGCGGAGACCAAGCAGATCGACCTCATCAACCGGATGGGCGTGTCGCACGTGTACCGGACCGATGGCACGCTCCGCGTCACCGGCTCGGTGGCCGCCGAGATGGAGGCCTCCTTTACCACCAGTAAGGCGCGGCGCCTCCTGGTCTGTGCTGTGCTGAGTACTGCGTCTCTGTGTCTGCTCTCGTTGTGATATTTTGCGTGTGTGTGCGTGTAGTTCAGATCAAATCTGACGTCATCTTTCCGCGCAACTGTTAAAATGATAGTACACTTTATTGTAGGGCGGATCACGCACACGTCATATCGGCACGAGTACCAGAAGGCTCAGTTAGTCGCAATGTTCATGTAGGTATGGCGAATCCGAAATAGTAAGCTCGACTAGCAGCCCATGTATCATGACGACCAGAACGACTGGCCATACCAGCAGTCAATCTATCCCCCATAATCGACCTGTGGCCCCAGTCAACCCCCCCCCCCCCTCCCAGATGCGCGGTCGGCCATCTACACGGTGCTGGCCACCGACTACACGGAGTTCGCGGCCGTCTACACGTGTCAGAACATCGGACTGGACGCGCTGCCGCTCTACCACAGGCGCGACGTGTACGTGCTGGCCAGGAATCGGTCCATCTCTCTGCGGCCCGACCAGGTGGATCAGGTGGGTGAACCGGTGGACAGGTGGGATGACGGGACATTTGTGTGTGGACAGAATACCCATACCAGTCACAGCCATGTAAACATTTTGTTGACTGTGCTGTCACGCGATCCAATCAGCATGATGAGTCAGGATGAATCCAGGATCTCAAACAGTCATGAATTACCGTTCGTTACGGACAGGCCTCTGTTACTATATGACCAGGGGAACGGCGGCTGCCTTTGGTGCGTCCTGCGTTGTTTCGATTGAATATGCCTTCTGGTTGTGTTTTACGTGAGCGTTTAACAGCATGGCTGGTCTGTTTGATCTTGACTCAAGCTGTGAAGCTCAGTGGAGACTGAGAACTAACAGCCACGGCGGCCGCCCGCAGATCAGCTCCGCAATGATGGATAACCAGATCGAGGACGAGTCGGCCCTGGTCAGTCACGACAGCTGCATCTCGGCCAAAGAAGCCACACTGGACCTGAACGCCAGCAAACTCGGCCAAACGGTAAGTACCCTGCGGCAACACTTGCGAACATTATGCAAGGAAGTCACACTGGGCCTGAAACGCCAGCAAACTTGGCCAAACGGTTAGCACCTTACAGCAATGTTTGTATACATCATCCAAACAAGCCACACTGGACCCGAACGCCAGCAAACTCGGCCAAACGGCAAGCGCCCTGCAGCAGCGTTTGTGCATACATTTCAAACAAGTCACACTGGATCTGAACGTCAGCAAACTCGGCCAAATGGTAACCACGCTTCAGCAGCTGCATGCGTGCATCATCCAGACGATGTGTAGATCGGGGCGCCGGTATACTCGTATGCATCGGCTGTGGATCAACCACACAAGCCGCAGCAAACCTAAAGGCCGCAGCAGACATCGGGCTGCAGCGCGGATGTGTAGACGCCCAGCCCACGGACCTGGGCACCATTAAGCACGTGCAAAAGTTGGGTTTGCCGGTCAGCGCTCGGCCTCATCCCAGCGGGCTGGCTGGCGGGCTGTTCTTGCGGCGGCATCCGGTAGCGTCCGGCTCGCACAGATCCGTGTCAGCACTCAGGTCAGAAGGTCGGGGCGAAGCCAGGTCAGGTCGCGTCCGCCGAACGGCCTGTGCTCGATGGCGAAGCTCGTTCCACCAGCGTCCAGAATTGTGCTCGCGCCGAGTGAAAGCTCCTCTCAGAGCTTAGGACTTCCAGAGGGGCACTGGCAGCATACCGCGCAGCTAGGTGCTGAGGCTAACACGCAGCCCGCAGAACCGTTCACCTCACCCCGTCGTTCGTCTGTTTTTGCACGCAGCCGTGTGTTGTTAACGTGACGCCATATTTGCCGCGCTCGCCGCCAGGTGTCGAGCGTGGCCACCACGGTTTCTGAGGGCATCGGCAAGTTCGCCTCCAGCATCGCCGGCATCTTCAGCAGCGGCGGCGGCGGCGGCGACGACCCGGCGGCCGCCAGCATCAGTCCTCTGCGGCGGCGGCGCGGGGCCCACTTCTGAGGCCTGAGATGGCCCTGAGGGGACCCGCGCGGTAACCCGCCCCTGGGGCCCCGCGGGCGCTTAATAGGTCTATCGGAAGGCTGGGCGGCGCGTTCACTCAGTGTGACTGATTTGATCACACAGTTGAGCCCGCTGGAGACCCAAGAGCTGGTGAGACCGAGGGTGACTCGGGAGACCGCGGACGAGGGTCGGTCACGACTGGTCTCGTTATGGGACGACCGACGGAGTGAGTAGCGTCCGTGTCCCATAGTTATTAATGTATCGCGTGCGACAACAGCGGAATAGCGCGCGATTACCAACAGCATGTATTAGGAGCACACAACATCGACTGCCGTTTCCTGTCTGTCTGTTGGGTTTGCTGGAACTGAGTGTGCATATATATTTACGTCTCCTGGTCTCCTCTGCTTGTTAGAGGGTAGATGGTGTTATCATTGGCCGGATATGAATACAGTATTGTATGCACATATTTCTGTTTTCCGTCCTTGTCAAAATCACGGTGTGACCGTGCAACCCGGAAGTACAAATGTTGTGGAATAAAGGGGGGGGGGGGGGCTGTATCACGTGTCAGAAATCCGACGACACCACGACAAGGCGATCCATGAGTCAGATGGGCTTTGAAAGGGCAGATCAGTAAACCCCTACCGGAGCCTCATCTGGGATGGGTAAGTGGGTCCCAGCTGGACATGCCGGCACGCGAGCGAAGCGGGCAGCCCAGATGGGTCCCATATGACTGTTCATCTTGGACCCACATGAGTCCCATTTGGACTGGGTAAGAAATGTAGTGCTGTTACAACGCGTTGACAGCGTAAATTGGCGCGAAAATAATTGAGAGGCATACCCGATTATCTATTGATGGTGCTGCAATGGCGCTACCCAATGCAGGTCAATAAGACGTAAATGGACGTGAGGTTTCGCCAGCGTAGGTTTTTGAAACATGCCTAAAAGGCGGGGCACTTAAAAGTCAGTTCCAACGAGCCTGATAACCATGTTAATCTCTCTCCAGATTTCCGGAAACTCATTAGATTTTCAGCATTAAAGGCATATTGTGCTTAGCTCCAGAGTTTGGCTCAGCATATAATGCATCATGACACGCTTCGTTGTCTCATTGACATTTCATGGAGCCGCTCCTTTGAAGTGTAGGTAATCTTTTTTTAATTTAGCTACACGTTTTGAAATTCCAAAGGTTCGGAATGTGCGCATCAGAGACAAAATACAATACCAGAATACATCACCGCCTGCCGGCCCAATGTGCGCTTCGCGCCTTGTTCCGCAATTGCCCGGGGAGACGCAAGCCTATCATTTTGCCCATATTCGGCCTCAATTAAAACGTGGGAGTTTTATCAGGTAAAGTGAATTGGGAGCGCATCTTGTAGTTGCTGTAGCCCCGTAAATCGCACAGTGATGATTCAGGCTGCGCGAGACTGAGTTTTAGTGATTCCATTAATAGCCCTGAGCGGAAACGAAGTTTACTTATGCCGTGGGTTAGATCAGAATACAGTGGAAGAATATATGTTAAGGTTTCATGACTGCCATGTTTTGTGTGTGCTGCTGACTAAGCATTGGTATAAGTTTGGAGACAATAATAAATGAAGAGATTCAGACATGCTTTTAGAGCAAGACTCCTCAAGGACAATGCATTATAATTTTCAATACCTGTGATAATCATAACATGTAATTATGCAGAGATAATTAACCCTTTGCTCCAAAATAACATTGCCGTGATCCTAGGCTCCAATTTGTGTATGATGCCACCAGGATTCAATGCATCATTGCCAGACAGCTGCAAAAAAATAACAACTCTGGAGTGGCTGGTATCCAAAACAAAATTAATCAAATGATATATGACTAGGGAATGTTTATCATAAAGTTTTTGTTCCTTTTTACCATTTTCAACCAATAATGCATGTAGAGCCTTTTATTCCACATTTTGCCATTATGATGCTCAAAGCCATTTTTTATGTGATAAGATGTAGTCTGTATGTATTTCAGTTGTATGAAGTGTTATGCAGCCTAGTGGTTGTGCCTGAACCAAAAATATCCGTCCTAAGTACCCGTCAAATCATGCTATGTGCATTCAATTGACAAAGTTGTTTTCAGAACCAAGATAATGGGGTCTGACTGTTATGATGAAGCACTTATACATATACTGCAGTCAGAAGGAAAAATAATTCCATTTCTGGATGTCATCTTTGGATTCCTACATAGATGGTAAGAGATCAGATTATGCTGTTGTGGTAAACTGTAATATGCCATTGATATATTACCCATTCAGGTAACATGTAACAAATATGTTGCCACACTTGGAATTTGTTTTACCCTTTTCTTAGTTCTGTATTGAAGCAAATGACACAGTATACCAATCCTGGGTATCAAGGTCTAAGGACACTTTTCAATAACAAATGTTTTCAAATGCAAGACACCTGATTGTTGCACATGTATGTTCACTGCATCAGGCCAAAAAGGCAAACTGGTGCAGAAACTTTGGTTATGGTACCAGCTTACTAATCAGGATGCATCTTGAATGTTGAAATGTTAAATGACACCACAAGATTAAATCTTGATACACTTGTCAATAGCTGACCCATATTTTTATGAGAACCCAGAAGGGCAAAGAAGTTTAAACAAACAGAGCACCCATGCTGAAGGATACCCATCACCTAGCAAAGCATGTGTGGCCACATTTGCTTGATGAGCAGGCTGGGGTGTGCCATGTTTCAGTACCGACTTCTACCACGAGCACGACCGTCCATCGGCGGTGGGGTTCCCGACGGGCGTCGCCGAACAGCTGGTGGTCACCACCTTCCGCAAGTGGCAGACCATCCACCGGAGGTGCGTAGGGGAGCACGCCTGATGTTACCATGCTGCGCTGCACAGTGGCGCACTCTAATGGTCCTAGTGGTGGCTTGTGCTGGTAAATGACTGTAACATGGCTAGCGCAACCAGGTGTGTGGAGCGTCGTCCCCGCGTCTCTGTTGAAGGAAATGCAGCATGCGAAAATTCATCCAGTAGGGTGTGCAGGATGTAAATATAAATTCATGCTAGTAGAATTCTGACTCTCATCGGTCCTTACACGCAATTCGTTTACGCTAACTCGTGGCCCTTTGACCCGACGCGAGCATCTGACCTACTCAGCCCATTTGTCGAAGCCTGAGGCGCATAGATACTGAGTTGACAGCCTCCCAGTTTGATGCTGATTGGCCAGTTTTGAGCAAGGGGAGGAGCCACAGGCAGTGAGCCCAAAGCCGGGGTGTTATAGAATGAAAAATATCGACATCCCTGCCACCCAAGTGGCCGAATATTGGAACACTGAGGAAGCGAGACCCTGATGAGGTGTGAAACTGCTTGTACCAGCTAAAGTACAAGTACAGACCGATGACATAGACAGAGTTCCTCTTCACAGCAATGGTATAGTTATGTAAATGTGCACCTCATAATTTGCTTATGCCATCTGGTTGGGCATGTTTTCTCACCACTGTATGATATGTTCCATTCCTGTGAAATATTCACCATCCTGTCTGACCTGTTACGACCTGCCCAGTAATTCGTGAAGTACATTGTGACCTGCCTAGTGATCAGTGATCAGCACTGTGGCCTGCCCAGTGATCGGTGACTTGCACTTCAGTCTGCCCAGTGATCGGTGACCTGCACTGGTACACAGATCGGCCGGTCCTGTGCCGCCCGCCGTGGCCGAGGAGGAGGTGGTGACCTCATCACCACGCGACCCGCCCGTCCGGAAGACCGAGTCTGGACCTCCAGCCACCGCCGCCGCCGCCGCCCCGGCCACCGCGGTGACAACACGAGCGTCTGAACAGGTGGCAGCGCGGCCGACCCGGACGCCCGACAGGTGTGACCCGCCGGCTAGCGCCACTGGCACCACCACTGGTGTCACCGCTGGCCGGCACTACTGGCGTCACCGCCTGCTGGCACTACTGGCCTCACCGCCTGCTGGCACCACTGGCTTCACCCCCGGCTGACACCACTGGTGTCACCGCCGGCTGCCCCCCCCCCCCCCCCGACATCGCATCCCCAAGGAAATCTCGCAGGGAGCTTGTATGTAGCGATGTTGTTTTTTGTTTCCGTCTCCTTTTTCCGCTCCGCGAGACCCTTATGACCTCCAGCTCACTCTCGGTGACCCCTATCGTTGTGTGTGTTGCCCTCCACGGTTCCTGGCGTGACGTCGGGCTGGTGACAGACCGGCGCCGTGTCGTTGCAGCGCGTCCGACTGTCACAACGGTGCCGTGAGGGACGGCTACTCGTGGTCACAGACGATCGGCGACGTGACGGTGCGCGTGCCCGTGCCGCCGGCCACCCGCCGCGCCCGCCAGGTCAGTGGAGACGGCCCAGGTCGGCCGCGCCCGCGGGCGCGGGAGCGGGGCGTTGATGTTGGCAGGAGCGGGGGCGGGGCGGGAGCGGGAGCGGGAGCGGGAGCGGGAGCGGGAGCGGGAGCGGGAGCAGGAGCAGGCGCAGGCGCGGAAGCGGGAACTGGCGGGAGCGGGAGCGGGGGTGGCGGCGGGAGCGGGGCGGGGGCGGGAGCGAGGAAAAGGGTCGGTCGGGACCACCGCACCGGAAGGAGCGACGTGCCAAGTCAGACCTCAGTCATCGCAGTGAGACCGAGCAGATGCCCGCCGATAGCAACAAGCGATCAAATATTCCATCCGTGCTCGCCCAGACATCTGATGCGTTCTCCCAGCCGGCTGTGCTGAGCGGGCTGGTACGTCTGCGCCTCCGCAGGTGTCTGTGGACCTGGCCGCTGACCGGGTGGCGGTGCGGCTGGCGGAGGGGGACGTGCTGCTGGACGGCCGGCTACACCGCCCCATCCAGGCGCCGGAGTCCACCTGGAGCCTGCTGCCCGGCGACAGTGTCCAGGTGCGACCCGAACGTCCCCGGCCCGCTGCCACCGTGTGACTTTCGCGACCCTCTAGCGCACTGGTGCGGACGTGCACGGCTCGGAACACTGACACACTCGCACGTTGTAGGAGACTGCGGTGCTGTTCATCACACGCGGTTGCCCGGCTGGCCCTCTCGGTCGGTGCTTCGACGTGGTGTGCCTTGCCCCACTCTAAACAGCGCTCTAGCCCTAGCTCGAGCTCTAGCGCGACGCACCGTTACGCCTAGGTCGTGCGCGCTGCTCGTTATTGCCTCGACGACGTCGCGATAGGGCTTGGGTGACTGTGCGCCGGCCTCTCCCTGGTGTGTTGGGTGTGGTGCTGGTCAGTGGGCGTGGCGTGCGGCCGGCCGCCGCGGCGTCGGCGCCGGGTGAGGTCCGGACGGAGGAGACCTCGGCCGGCCGCTGCTGACTGCCGCTCCGCCGCAGCTGAGTCTGGAGAAGACGCGGGAGTGCTGGTGGGCCGCCCTGCTGGAGACGGAGCCGCACATTGACCTCAGGTGGGGCCGGGCGACGCAGCCGCGCAGCGGTTATGGGACGGGACGCACGACAACACCGCGTAGTACCGGTCCGGATCGGCTCATTTCCTCGACCTGTAGCCTGTGACGGGTAGCAGAAACAGCTGACCCGGCGCCGTGTGTGGCGGTGCGGGTTATCACGCTGCTGTATCGCTTTCTGTTCTCCGCCGCATCTTCGGTGTGCCCGTGCTCAACATGTCTCAATGGGCGCCAGTTCTCGCCGTTCCGCCACAGCATTGGTGTTCGCCACTACGTCGGAGTAAGAGTGTCGGCTGAGAACCACGCCAGGGAAACCCGAGAGCGCCGGATTAGCGATCGACAGGCACCGACGAGCGCAGCAGCGCCGCCTGGCGTCGCGCGGTCGCTGCCGCGGCGTCCCGGCCTCCACTCGGCGCGCCTCACGCGCGCCCCCGGTCGTCCGCAGACAGATCGAGGCGGTGAAGCCGTGGGAGGACCTCAGCGAGGAGGAGCAGATGAAGATCGACGAGCTGCGGGCGCGCGAGGCGGCCAAGAGGGACGCCGCCGGCGGCCAGGCCGCCGTCACCGCCGGCGGCAAGGTCTGGCGCGGCTGGCGCGGGACGGTGACGTCCGCGTGCCGCGAGACATAGGGTTCACATATCGGTGGGCTTCAGTCGGGCGGCTTATCCCGGGGAGTACAGCAGGACTCTGCCGAGGAGTACAGCACGGTCGTCAGATGCAGTTTGACGGAGGCTGGCAGGTGACCTCCCTTCCTTAAGAATGGAGATATAAGCGAAAGCGTTCAGAGGATGTTCTGTTCTGTTCTTTTCCTTGCTTGATGAAGGCTTTGATGGGGCACCCCTTGATGCCGTTGCGGAAAGGGCAACTATAAGACATTTCATACGAAGAGCATGAACGAGTCCCTGGCCATGTCAGACGCCTTATAGAGTTCAGCACAGGCGTCACAGTGAAGGGCACAACCGTTTGCTGTGGACTGTCTGCCCAGCTGGGCATGCGTACCGAACCTGGGGGCCGGTATCGGCGGCAGCGGCGCCCCGCGGCCGGGACCTAGGCCTGACCGGCCGCCTGCCCGCAGGACGTGTCGGCGCTGCTGCGCGAGGCCTGGCACGCCGAGGGCTCGCCGTTCCAGGGCCGGCCGTACGACCCGGACTCTGTGCAGGTCCTGCCGGGCGGCCAGACCGGCACCTAGGCCGGCCGCCACCGTCAGCCGCCGTCAGCCGCCAATACCGCCGAACGGGAACGGCCGGCCGGGATCGGGCACGTCACGCGAGGTGGTGTTGAAGGTCGCGATGGTGTTCGGTGTAATCTACCTTGTCCAAAATCGAAGTCGTGCGTGTCAATAGGATCGGCTGTGTTCATCCTCATCGTTTTCCGGCGCATTCGAAGCGGGTGGGCTGTGGAGTGTTCGTGCTGTTGCCATTTCTTGGATTGGATACAACACACGCGTCGCCGGCATTGCTCCCTTGTCGCAGGTTGAATATATACTGTGGAGAAGCGTGTAACCATTAGGAAGCATCCAGGTCATTTAACGAAAGGACCGCTAACCGAACATGCAGAAAACCACAAGTCGTAAACTCCGAATGCGCACCGTTGACTCCGCATTTACCTGTTGTGATTTGCGAAATACGCTGAGTTTGAGGCGCTTGTGATACAACGTAATCCCGTTGAAATGTGAAACCATCTGTTGATAAAAAGTGTTTTGCTGAACAGCGCCCGTGCGGGAGCAGTTGCGCAGAGCATCTCCCGATGTCAAATGTACGCCAGTGCAATCTGCCGTGACGCTATGAGGGGACGATATCGAAGTGCCGAGCCCGGTTGATGCTGCCATAGATCCAGCTCGACACGCGCACAAACCCCGTAACCACATCGGCCTCTAAACTGCGGTCTTCCCGTGGAAGCGACGCATTAGCATAGCAGTAAGTCGGAAAACAAACCTGGGGAAGTACTTCCGCGTTATGACCACCGTTCGGCTGATGTAAGCCGGTTTTGGTGTAACAAAACTCCAATGCGTCGCGTAAAACATGAACTAAAACATAGCATCGGCGCGTTTATTTCCGCACCTTCACCATCTCACCGTGGTCAGGTGCGCACTATTTCACCGCAGTCAGATGAGCACGACTGGAGAACGCCTGCTTCCAGCACACACACCAATTCCACCCGTCCTGGTTGTCATCAACACACCTCGAACCCGCGGGTCTCCCTGAACGCCACAAATCCGCCGCGCCCTAGAACAAGTCCCGGTGGAGGAGGAGGGAAGAGGGGGGGGGGGGGGGACTCGCGGAACCCCAAGCCTGCCGTCCAAGCCTGAGCCAGACCAGGCGAACCCGATCCCCTGGCAACACTGCCAGCCGCGCGGCCCTCACCAGCCCCCGACCGGGCACGGGTCATGACAGAGGTGTACGTCCCCGGACACCTCCGGCTCGGGGCAGGGCGGCGCTCAGCCGGGCGCGTATCAGTGGATGACGCGACGCTCCCGGTGGTCACGGCTGGTCACCAGGTCACGTCACAGCTGGTGGGACCAGTCCACGTCACAGCTGGTGTGAACAGGTCACGTCACAACTGGTGTCACCAGGTCACGCCACAGCTGGTCACCAGGTCACGTCACAACTGGTGTGAACAGGTCACGCCACAGCTGGTGTGAACAGGTCACGTCACAACTGGTGTGAACAGGTCACGTCACAGCTGGTCACCAGGTCACGTCACAACTGGTGTTACCAGGTCACGCCACAGCTGGCCACCAGGTCACGTCACCGCTGGTGCGACCGGGCGGCTCCGATATTGTCCGGACCAGTCTCCCCAGCTGACGTGACCGGGCCGGCCAAATCACCTCCGGACGAACGGGTTGGCTCACGACTCCGCATGACCCGACCCGTGTCACGTCTGGAGTGACCTGGCCAGGTCGGCAGTCCTGACGGTCGGGCCGGGTCACAGCTGGAGCGTCTCGACGCAGTAGTCGGCGGCCGGCGGCGAGGGTGGGTCGCGCCGAAGCGCCGTCACTTGGTCCAGCGTGCGCAGCAGCAGCGCCGCCTCCTGCGCCGCCAGCTCCTGCCGGGACGCCCAGCGTCTCAGCACGACACGGAGCGGCACAGCACCGTACAGGGCGACACGGAGCGGCACAGCACAGCACAGGGCGACATGGAGCGGCACAGCACAGCACAGGGCGACACGGAGCGGCACAGCTCAGTACAGCACGACACGGAGCGGCACAGCACAGCACAGGGCGACACGGAACGCCACAGCTCAGTACAGCACGACACAGAGCGGCACAGCACGGCGACACGGACTGGCACAGCACGGCGACACTGAGCGGCACAGCACAGCACAGGACGACACGGAGCGGCACAGCACACCCCAGGATGCAAGTGGTACACAACGTCACAGGATGTTGCATAGTGACACACAATGGCACACCTCTTGTATCAACGCCCCCTGGCAGCCTCCTGGTGACTTAAGGCTACATACGCGGTGGAGAATTCATATGAATTTGATGTCCGTTGTACATGATGGACGGAGTCTGACTTCGTTCTATGTGATGTAATTCCTCGGATGGAGCAGGGTTTTGAGCGCGTTTACTTATTCACGGCACGACGCGTCACAATCCAAACGCTCCGGTGGAAAACCGTCACAAGACATGACGCGGGTAAGTGGCTGGGGGGGAGAGAGAGGAGAGAGAGAGAGAGAGAGAGAGAGAGAGAGAGAGAGAGAGAGAGATAGAGAGAGAGAGAGAGAGAGAGAGAGAGAGAGAGAGAGAGAGAGAGAGGAGAGAGAGAGAGAGAGAGAGAGAGAGAGAGAGAGAGAGAGAGAGAGAGAGAGAGAGAGAGAGAGAGAGAGAGAGAGAGAGAGAGAGAGAGAGAGAGAGAGAGAGAGAGAGAGAGAGAGAGAGAGAGAGAGAGAGAGAGAGAGAGAGAGAGAGAGAGAGAGAGAGAGAGAGAGAGGAGAGAGAGAGAGAGAGAGAGAGAGAGAGAGAGAGAGAGAGAGAGAGAGAGAGAGAGAGAGAGAGAGAGAGAGAGAGAGAGAGAGAGAGAGAGAGAGAGAGAGAGAGAGAGAGAGAGAGAGAGAGAGAGAGAGAGAGAGAGAGAGAGAGAGAGAGAGAGAGAGAGAGAGAGAGAGAGACGGTGTGAACCCTGCATAGCATGACGATGGGTTCAACACGCTGTGACAAAAGCAGAGCAAAGGAAGAAGAAAACGTTAGGAGTATTCCCCCCCCCCCCCACACACACACACCCACACCCACACCCACACCCACACACATGCACAGTATTCAGGCAGATCTTGTATTTAGGTCAATAGTTTGGCAAGTTCCGTGCTCCAGCCAGGACACCGTCGGTACTTCTACCCGGTATCTGTTCGTGACTCGACGCATTCGAACGCACCACGCGTTATCCAGATCCGGGCGACCTATCTCATCGAAGAGCGTGCCACGCTCGACGCCAGGCAGTCGAGAGCATGCGCAAACAAAACGGCGATCAGCGACGGAGACCGCACGATTTACAAATCCAGTGTAACCGCGGCATACGGCTAGGCCCTGACGCAATTGGTTGGTATATTTCCTCACCCCCGGTATAACACCGTCCTCCGTTACTCGACGGCCGAGGTGGTAATTCCTGTTGGGGCATCCAGGAGTCCCGAGCCATTTTTCCTTCCTGTTTGCATAAAAAACCGGCTAGTTCCAGCGGCACAGATGGAGGCCAGCTGGTGGCGAGCGTCATCGACGTCACGTGACCGGCGTCACGTGACCAGCTCACCTGGCGGTCCCGCCACTGGGCGATCCGCTCCAGCAGCTGGCGCACGCCCGGGCCATCCGAGAGCGCCAGGCTGGCGTACTGGGAGTCTAGAAGCACCGTCAGCCAGTCCAGCAGCGCCTGCTGACACACCCGACACCGTCTGTCAGTCCAGCGGCGCCTATTGACACACCCTGACACCGTCAGTCGGTCCAGCGGCGCCCGCTGACACACCCGACACCGTCAGTCAGTCCAACGGCGCCTGTTGACACACCCGACACCGTCTGTCAGTCCAGCGGCGCCCGCTGACACACCCGACACCGTCTGTCAGTCCAGCGGCGCCTGTTGACACACCTGACACCGTCAGTCGGTAAAGCGGCGCCCGCTGACACACCCGACACCGTCTGTCAGTCCAGCGGCGCCTGTTGACACACCCTGACACCGTCGGTGGGTCCAGCGGCGCCCGCTGACACACCCGACACCGTCAGCCAGTCCAGCGACGCCTGCTGACACACCCGACACTGTCAGCCAGTCCAGCGGCGCCTGCTGACACACCCCGACACCGTCAGCCAGTCCAGAGGCGCCTGCTGACACACCCGACACCGCCGGCCAGTCCAGCGGCGCATGCTAACACACCCCGACACCGTCAGCCATTCCAGCGGCGCCTGCTGACACACCCCGACACCGTCAGCCAGTCCAGCGGCGCCTGCTGACACCCCCCCCCCCCCCCCGACACCGTCAGCCAGTCCAGCAGCGCCTGCTGACACACCCCGACACCGTCAGCCAGTCCAGCAGCGCCTACTGACACACCCCGACACCGTCAGCCGACGACATTAGCGCACGTCCGCCACTACCGTGCCTCACCATCCAGACAAGCTGAGTATGTCTCGCGATAACGTTTGAGACGAGGGCGTCATACCACCAGACAAACCGCAATGAGTGTTCAGTGATCGCCATCTGGATCGACACAGAACATGGCAGATGCATCACGCAGAGGGGGAGGGGTCAGATATCTCTTCAAGGAGGGGACACGTGACATTGTGGTGCCCCTTGAGGTAGTGGACCCCCAAAAGAGCGTAAATTTCTGCCTTCCAACTTTTAGTTATCCCAAAACGCCGAATTACAACAAAGGTTATGGGGCATATAAATAGTGGTTTTGGTGTCCCGCCAAAAGGGGATTTCGCCAGGGTGGGAAGAACCCAAATTGCTGTGGCCCTGGAATTTGGCACCTCTTCAAAACGACAAATTTGAGGCACTGTTTTGCGTGAAATCCTCCTGAGATTTAGCGCCTCTTGAAAATGAAGGATGTCGCACCCCGAAAACAAACGTTTTGGTTTCCCTTCACCTACGAGACTTTGACGCCACTCAGCCTCATGGGTAATCCAAAAGAAGGAACCATGGTACCATTTGCCACCCTCCCCCCCCCCTCCCTCCCACACGGGTTCAGTGAATCCCGACTACCGCACCTTAGGAGGCATCCGACCGCCCGAGATGGAGGCCTTAGCTTACAGAATTAACTTCAAGGCCTTGAACAGTCAATACACAGGTCGTCATCACTACAATGCCTTGAACATCTGTAATTTCATGACGCCTTGAACATCTTGAACAGTCAATACATAGGTCGTCATCATTCACAATGCCTTGAACAATCATTCTGATACCCGACGGAAAAACCCGCAGGGTTACACACGACCACCCCGTCGTGCGGGTCACGCCGAGGTGACCCAGCGCGGCGCGCTGCTGACCTCGGCCAGCTCCGTCTCGGCCGACTGCAGGCGGAGGGCCACGTGCTCCATCAGCCGCGTCACGTCCGCCAGCTGGCGGCGGCGCAGCGCTGACGTCATCGCCGTCCGCGTGTACGGCACGCGCAGCATGTCGTCCAGCGCCGCCTCGCGCTCTGCCGGTCAGAGGTGGGACTCAGGTGGAGCCCGGGGCGTGTCGTCCGGAGCGCTCTCCGCCCCGCCGGGTCAGAGGTCACGGCCGGCGGGCACGGGGCGCTGCTCACGGCAGCACAAGCCCGCTTTACGTGCTGGCAGCTGCTGTTCGAGGCCGTCTTGGTGTTTGGTCCGTTGCTGCTGGCTCCGGCATGCGCATGAACATGCTGCTTATCGCCACCAGATTTGAGTTGTCAAGAAATAGTAGATTACGACAACCGTACACATCACACCACGGACCCTTATATCAGTCTTTCCGAAAGCTGCGACGCAAAGTCAACTCCATAGCCCTTGCCCGACACGATGTGATATGCGTTACGAATAAACTTATTTCATAAGGGGGTCAGCTTTTACCTGATCGGGGTCAGGGTTGCAGGGTAAGGATTTGACAAGCGGAACACCACGACACCACGATGTTGACAGGACGCTCCCAGCCCCTCCTCCAATGACGCCGGGCAGTGCCGTGGCGAAGTGGTGCACACCTGAATCGCTGCTGTCGACGGTGGTGAAGATCATGTCGGCCAGGTAGGTCTCCGGTATCTCGGTCAGCGTGGTGGTCAGCCGACGCAGAGCGGCCACGTCCGAGCGTTCGCAGAGCGTCCGGCACCAGGCGGGCACACAGGCTGCGCGTAACAACGCATCATATGGTTAAGGTGGACCCACAAAATCAGGTCTGGCAATTCCGTGTATGTGTTTTGGTTTTTCGGTCAATGTCTGTGTAGCTTAGGATTGCTACTTGGCGAATTGTAACGGACCTTACGTTGCGGGGTGATACTCATGGCAAACAACTACCACTACAATGACATTTTCGGTATCATTTACGATAAATCATACGATTCGTTACGATCATTAAAGGTTTCATTTAAAATGGATTACTGGGGAAACCGAGCTCACGCTGGCCGTGCTTGTGTAAACTATTTATTGTGGCAAATCTTAAACGTACAGCAATACTCGGCACGGTTTGTCCTCTCTCACGTCACCTGACCTTTCCACCGGTCAAAGGTCATCCCAGTCCGGGCAAAACGCGACAGCCGAAGCGGCCCGAACCCACCCACCCAACCACACGTTGGGCGTAAGGCAGGCACTAACACTAACTAAGCTATGATAGTGGTCTGCCAGCTGGCATTTGCACACTAGTTTCTTGCTGGTTAATTTTAAGTCTTAACAGTGTTAAGAACTTACGCGTCTTCAGTCTCGACGTCTGCCGTGCTACCCAGCAAGGCAGTATCAGTATGTCACACTGTCCATAGCAGGACTGTCTTCATCCCAATCTGCAACTTCAAGCTGAGACATGGCTGAAAATGCAGACAAGTAAACTCAGTATTTTTCCAAATGTAACAGCTGGCAGTGCATCAAATACTCAGGGTTACAGAGCCTTTTAAGACAGGTCAGGGTTTCAAAGACATGAGGAAAACTTTACAAATACATCTACCTGAATGATTATGGTTCATATTAAGTCATGGCTAAATTGCATCACCTGCACTCAATTGCCTGTACAGTCAAGTCAAATAGGGATATACATTAACAGCAAGTGCTTCAGCCATTAAATCTTATGTTGAAAGGTCAGGCGGCAAGGAATTGGCAATGTGCCCACAGGTTTACGGTGGACATATACCAACTACTCGGTCTGGGAGAAATGTGCTTGACTTATAATCCAGTGGTACTGGGTGCATGCCCTGCCACAGCTGCATCGGGCGACATTGAATTAAGGAGGATCATCCTGGCCTGCGGCTACACTGTGCCATATGGCATGCAAGCGGGAATGACATATACACAAGAGTAGCAAGCAGACAGGAATGGCTTACTGCCCTGTGGATAGCATACTGTCATGTGGTCTACATGTTATATAGCATGCCTTCAAATCAACTCTAACCACATGACACTATTGCTGTCTTTGATCTCAAGTTACAACTTACCTTTGGTAGCAAGACTACTGTGAAGCCAACATTGGAAGACCATGAAAGACACAATTTTTTTGTCTTAAAAATTGCCAATGCAAAAGCTCCAAGTACTTGGTATCTTCACAATTGGTGATGGCTGCAATGCCATTCCATGAAAACTCATACAGTTCACAGTCATCCTGATAAGAGCTGCTGCATGACCTACTGCTGCTGATGTGCCCAAAAACCCACCCCCAATGATGAGATGGTCCTTAACTGTGCAGCAAGTTCAGTGATGAAGGCCCTCAGAAAATCAGATGACAAGTTAGTAACAGCTGACTATAATGCCAATTTAGCATATTAACTTTAATTTTCTCTCATAATTTTTTAATGCTTTCACACACAGAAAATACACAGAGTGTCTTGTACACCAGGCACTTCATGGAGGTATTGAGGAAGTGGTATGAGGACATCACATTACAAACACACAGGCACCCAATGTGCAAACGCCCTGGATCCAGCAGAAAACATTTGTCCCCTGCTATTGACACCTACACAAAATTGGTGTGATGAACCTTGTGCTTGTGTGCACCAAACTCAGGCAAAAACAAAACTAGCCTGAATTTCTGTTATACTTTTGCATGAAAAATGATTTTGAGGCATACCTGAATGAAATTATCATTGCCAAGTCATAATTACTTGAAAGTGTCTCTCAGTGAACTGGAATTGGTGGCAAACATGCACCAGACCCTGGGCACTCAAATGTAACAATATGCACTGAAGTTGCTACTACAATCTTGTTGCTATGTAGGACACTTCTACCATGACAGATATTAATGAAGTCCAGGCCTGGACACATTGAGTTGTTAAGCACATTCATCTTATACCAATCATGGTTGAAAGTAAATAACCCTCACACAGAGGGGCTATATGTATACACGATAGACACTGATTTTTATGAACATTATTGTGAAGAGTAAACATGCCGAAGTTATATACCACCATACCTCGTCAAATGCAAACAGAACCGGGAAATAATGTACTAAAAAACTTACCTTCATGAAGGCACATCCGTTTCCCCGATCTAGCCGTGACCTGATCTGAAGAAACTACACTTCTAAGGCACCTAAGCTTTCTTTATATGCCTTGGCGTCGCGCAGCAGCACCACCTACCCCAGCAGCCGCCCAGGGCCCTAGAACAGCCGGCTATTATTGTGCGGTATACACAAACCAAGCATGCGAAACCACGCATGTACGTACAGCACGTGAGCTGGGCCCGCTCGGCCTGTGTGCCTTGACCGGTGTCTCTGCTGCGTGAGATATGTCTATAGCTCTGAACAAAAGCTACCATATAGTAGTAAGAAATAGCTGTACTTATAAAAAATAATTTGAACTGGACTGCGACCACACCACGCCACCACCCACGTCAACGACCTTATGCGATATCATGCGCTCTATATCGCTATGTTTATCTGGTACAGCTCCTGGAAAACTGTGCTAAGGATTTCCGGGACACAAGACAAATTCGAATCGTGCTGTTGGACTAGGGAGACATCAACAATACCAACTACCTCAATCTGAATTGAATATGACCTGTGGAATTGCCATTCATTCTGAATGCCCCGCCTGCCGTCTTGCGCTCTGTGTGTGTGTGTTATGCTTTATACCTGCATGTGCAAAGATATGCATCGACCTAGCGTTGTGAAATAATCTATATTATCATTTTGATTACTAACCCTCGCCCTGTTCAGCCGTTTTCATAACGAGGACTGATGGGGGGAGATGGTCGGGCTCGATGCGAACCCCTGCCGTTTCTAAACGTCGAATGATAGAGCCTTGTGAAAAGCAAGGACTTAGTCTCAACGAGATCTCGATACTGGCAGCAGGTTTGTTTATATCAACAATTGGTATCAATGGGTCGGATAAAGTGAAATTATTTAACAAAAGCGTTTAGCTTTATACGTTTATAGGTTCGGAACTATACCATGCAACGGTATGAAACTTATGAAGAATCTGTACAAATGCTCCAAATAATATTTATCATAATATATCAGTATATATAAAGGCTCCTTGCTCCATTTTGAGTGTACTGTTATGAATGAATGGAATGGAATGGAATGGAATTTGAGCATTTAACTCTGATGTACGTTTCCGCCAATGCAGCGGTGCCCGGCCCGCCTCGCACGATCGGTGGATTTTGACTGATTCCCGCCCGCCGCCCGCCCCGGTCGTGGATTGCCGTGATCGGTACTAACTATAACTCGAGCGACCTGT